TTTTACAACGGACCACTAGGGGTCCGCGGACCCCCATTTGGGAACCGTTGGACTAGACTATAGACTAGACTATAGACTAGACTATAGACTAGACTATAGACTAGACTATAGACTAGACTATAGACTAGACTATAGACTAGACTATAGACTAGACTATAGACTAGACTATAGACTAGACTATAGACTAGACTATAGACTAGACTATAGACTAGACTATAGACTAGACTATAGACTAGACTATAGACTAGACTATAGACTAGACTATAGACTAGACTATAGACTAGACTATAGACTAGACTATAGACTAGACTATAGACTAGACTATAGACTAGACTATAGACATAGACTTGCTATAGACTAGACTATAGATAGACTATAGACTAGACTATAGACTTGGCTATAGACTAGACTATAGACTAGACTATAGACTAGACTATAGACTAGACTATGACTAGACTATAGACTGGCTATAGACTAGACTATAGACTAGACTATAGACTAGACTATAGACTAGACTACAGACTAGGACTATATACTAGACTATAGACTAGACTATAGACTAGACTACAGACTAGCTATAGACTAGACTATAGACTAGACTATAGACTAGACTACAGACTAGGCTATAGACTAGACTATAGACTAGAGTTTAGACTAGTCTATAGACTAACTATAGACTAGACTATAGACTAGACTTTAGACTGAATGGATTATGCTGGATTATATTCTACAGTGTTATTATGTTTCTACCTTCATTGTATTCAAATTTACACGTGTGTTAATTTTGATTTGATGTAATTGTTATTATTATTATTGTTAAACATAAATTTGATTATTAAAATTTCTCTAATGAAAATATAAAGAGAAACATAATAGATGCTTCTGAAACAGGAATTTTTAAATTTCCTTTGAATAAAAGGTAAAATTTTATTTTCCTGGCAAAAAAAAGGAATGTGAACAAAAAATATGAAAAGTTAATACCAAAATCTAATATTCTAGCAAATACCAGCTGCCACATTTAGGTGGCACAATAGAAATGACATAAAATTATATTATTGTCGTAAATTTACACTCTCTGCTCTTGGATGCTTCTGCTTTAACAACCATTCTATTGCTGTCTTTTATTGCTGCTAAAAAATAATAAAGAAAATATGAAAAATATTTTATGTCAGGATTCGAATAATATGTAAATGTGTTTGTGTGTGTGTGAAGGAGGGTGTTTATATTTCATAATGACACAAACAAAACATGACAATATTTTGACATTATCAACAGCAGTTATTGGTGAGAGTATGTCTAGCTGTTAAGGACGTTTGGATAAATGTTATGTATAGGTGTGTAAATACTATATGCTGCAGATTAACTATTTGAATATGGTTAGTGTCACTTATGAATTTGTATATGTGTTGCCCATCACTGTTAGTAGAGTGGCAAGTCGTAATAGTAAATATTCTGTTCGAATCAAAAGTTGATTGAAAAATAACAACAGCGCAAATTGTTATAGTTCAATTAAGTTTTGTAGTTTTTTTTTTGTTTTTATTATTTGTTCACAGAAAAAACTGAAAAACGATTTCAATTACCAAAACCTCGTTTTCAATTATTTTATTTTTGAAGTTCAACCTACACAGAAAAAACTGAAAAACGATTTCAATTACCAAAACCTCGTTTTCAATTATTTTATTTTTTGAAGTTCAACCTATAACAAAAATTGTATATTCAATTACTACTTATAATTGATTTCGTAAACAAAATTTTTATTTTTTCTATTTTTGTTGTTTTTAAATACGTATTTGATTATACATTTTTATGAATCAAATACAAAATGAATTGAACCCTTTTAAAATTTTTGATTAATCGTTTAATTGAAAATTTTTTAAAATTAATTTTTTCTGTGTATAACAAAAATTGTATATTCAATTACTACTTATAATTGATTTCGTACACAAAATTTTTATTTTTTCTATTTTTGTTGTTGTTAAATACGTATTTGATTATACATTTTTATGAATCAAATACAAAATGGATTGAACCCTTTTAAAAATTTTGATTAATCGTTTAATTGAAAATTTTTTAAAATTAATTTTTTCTGTGTTTCAATATTAGATCAAAAAAGATATTTGTAAAATTTATTTATTGTACGAAGTATTGTTATTTTATCTATTCATTCATACATTCACCCAGTCAATCACTCACTACTCATTCGTTCATTCAATTTTTTATTTTTTGTGGATTTGAATGTCAAAAGTTGGCTGTTTGTTTTGTCCAAATATATGAATACGAATATGTGTTGAAATTTATTTTCAAATGCTTTCAACAATTACGCTTCATTGGAATGGGAATTGTGTGCTTTTGACATGTGTTAACAATTGCCATAGACATAAGGGATCAACATTTTTACTTATGTAGTATGTATGTAAAGATAGAGTAGAGATAAGAAAAGGTCACTATGTATTAGGAACGAAATAATGCACTATTGAAAATTACTTATACATTATAAAACAAGGCGTTCAATCAAGCAAATCAGCTGTAAATTCTTAGACTACAGTTAAGTATTAGTCTGGACTATAGTCTAGTCTATACTCTGCACTATAATCGAATCTATGGTCTTGGCTTTTGACTAGCCTCTAGTGTGAATAACAGTCTATTCTTTAGTCTAGCTTATAGTCTGGACAATAGTCTAGTCTACAGTCTAGTCTATAGTCTAGTCTATAGTCTAGTCTATAGTCAAGTCTATAGTCAAGTCTATAGTCAAGTCTCTAGTCAGTCTAGTCTATAGTCTAGTCTATAGTCTAGTCTATAGTCTAGTCTATAGTCTAGTCTATAGTCTAGTCTATAGTCTAGTCTATAGTCTAGTCTATAGTCTAGTCTATAGTCTAGTATATAGTCTAGTCTATAGTCTAGTCTATAGTCTAGTCTATAGGTCTAGTCTATAGTCTAGTCCTATAGTCTAGTCTATAGTCTAGTCTATAGTCTAGTCTATAGTCTAGTCTATAGTCTAGTCTATAGTCTAGTCTATAGTCTAGTCTATTAGTCTAGTCTATAGTTAGTCTATAGTTTAGTCTATAGTCTAGTCTATAGTCTAGTCTATAGTCTAGTCTATAGTCTAGTCTATAGCTAGTTCTATGTCTAGTCTATAGTCTAGTCTATAGTAGTCTATAGTAGTCTATAGTTAGTCTATAGTCTAGTCTATCGTCTAGTCTATAGTCTAGTCTATAGTCTAGTCTATAGTCTAGTCTATAGTTAGTCTATAGTCTAGTCTATAGTCTAGTCTATAGTCTAGTCTATAGTCTAGTCTTAGTAGTCTAGTAGTCTATAGTCTAGTCTATAGTCTAGTCTATAGTCTAGTCTATAGTCTAGTCTATAGTCTAGTCTATAGTCTGTCTATAGTCTAGTCTATAGTATAGTCTATAGTCTAGTCTATAGTCTAGTCTATAGTCTAGTCTAGTCTAGTCTATAGTCTAGTCTATAGTCTAGTCCTATAGTCTAGTCTATAGTCTAGTCTATAGTCTAGTCTATAGTCTAGTCTATAGTCTAGTCTAGTAGTCTAGTCTATGTCTAGTCTATAGTCTAGTCTATAGTCTAGTCTATAGTCTAGTCTATAGTCTAGTCTATAGTCTAGTCTATTAGTCTAGTCTATAGTCTAGTCTATAGTCTAGTCTATAGTCTAGTCTATAGTCTAGTCTATAGTCTAGTCTATAGTCTAGTCTATAGTCTAGTCTATAGTCTAGTCTATAGTCAGTCTAGTCTAGTCTATAGTCTAGTCTAGTCTAGTCTAGTCTAGTCTAGTCTATAGTCTAGTCTAGTCTATAGTCTAGTCTAGTCTATAGTCTAGTCTATAGTCTAGTCTATAGTCTAGTCTATAGTCTAGTCTATAGTCTAGTCTATAGTCTAGGTCTATAGTCTAGTCTATAGTCTAGTCTATAGTCTGGTCTATAGTCTAGTCTATAGTCTAGTCTATAGTCTAGTCTATAGTCTAGTCTATAGTCTAGTCTATAGTCTAGTCTATAGTCTAGTCTATAGTCTACTCTATAGTCTACTCTATAGTCTACTCTATAGTCTAGTCTATAGTCTGGTCTATAGTCTAGTCTATAATCTAGTCTATAGTCTAGTCTATAGTCTAGTCTATAGTCTAGTCTATAGTCTAGTCTATAGTCTAGTCTATAGTCTAGTCTATAGTCTAGTCTATAGTCTAGTCTATAGTCTAGTCTAGTCTAGTCTATAGTCTAGTCTATAGTCTAGTCTATAGTCTAGTCTATAGTCTAGTCTATAGTCTAGTCTATAGTCTAGTCTATAGTCTAGTCTATAGTCTAGTCTATAGTCTAGTCTATAGTCTAGTCTATAGTCTAGTCTAGTCTATAGTCTAGTCTATAGTCTAGTCTATAGTCTAGTCTATAGTCTAGTCTATAGTCCTAGTCTATAGTCTAGTCTATAGTCTAGTCTATAGTCTAGTCTATAGTCTAGTCTATAGTCTAGTCTATAGTCTAGTCTATAGTCTAGTCTATAGTCTAGTCTATAGTCTAGTCTATAGTCTAGTCTATAGTCTAGTCTATAGTCTAGTCTAAAGTCTAGGTCTATAGTCTAGTCTAGTCTTATAGTCTAGTCTATAGTCTAGTCTATAGTCTAGTCTATAGTCTAGTCTATAGTCTAGTCTATAGTCTAGTCTATAATCTAGTCTATAGTCTAGTCGATAGTCTAGTCTATAGTCTAGTCTATAGTCTAGTCTAAAGTCTAGTCTATAGTCTAGTCTATAGTCTAGTCTATAGTCTAGTCTATAGTCTAGTCTATAGTCTAGTCTATAGTCTAGCCTATACTCTAGTCTATATTCTAGGCCTATAGTCTATTGTCTAGTCTAGTCTATTGTCTAGTCTATTGTGTAGTCTATTGTCTGGTCTATTGTGTAGTCTATTGTCTGGTCTATAGTCTAGTCCGAAACCTGATTCATTTATGATTAAAACAGCCAAAATTATGAAATTTTACACCAAGACAATTTTATTTTGTTCTTAATGCCACTGAAAGCCAACATGCACCAACAGCAGATAACACGAAGCCACCACCACATTACCCAGCATAACAAAGAAACCAATTTTTAGATAACCAAAAAATGTCAGTCTATAGCCATGACGGGAGGCCACACCAGCACAAGCTATATTAGCAAACGCACCCACAATTGAACCATTACCACCCAGAGTACAACCCAAGGCCAAAGACCAGACTAGCGGCATAATGGGTATATTGATGTGCTGATTTAGAGACAAGGTGCCAATAATGCGCATCATCATATCTGCCACAGGAACATTATCGATAAAAGTGGTTAAAATGGCGGAAATCCATATAATAGATAAAATGGCCACTGTTAAGCGATGGTGTTCACTGACATTGATGATGAAATGCTCTAGCAGTAGGCCAATGTTTTCTAAGAGTCCCAAAGAGATTAAGACTTGCATGATGATAGACAGGGTAACAAAGAACAGCATGGTGGACCAGTCTATGCGCGATAACATGCCTTCGATATCCTCATAGTTGCTGAGGGATAAAGCTAATAGGGCGGTTAATATAGCAATCCAACCTTTAGAGACTTTAAGTAGTTGAGGTATACGAGACAAAATGGAGAACAGGAAAGTTGTTAGCAAAGCTAAGATACAAATGATTACTAACGGACTATTTTTTATGGGATAATTGGCTCTTAGATTCTGAACTTTCTCCTCAAACCCTGAGGGTTTTTCGGGCATTTTGCCCAAACGTTTTAAACGTTTGCGCAAATTAACAATGCGACGATCCACGGTTTGTCGGGCCAAACTTTCATCCCACGTATAGTCACCCATGCGCAGAGAGGCTCTACGCCAAACATTAATTAAACGTTTCAGACGGCGTTGTTGAAATGGTTCAAAATTACGCATTTTAGCAGAGTTAAGGAATTGTAGTCGTAAATGTATGTACGACTGGGCCAACGTTAGTAAGGTGGCGGGTAACATGTGGATCATAAATTCTTTGAATTGTATTTGATGACTGGTTAAAAACGGGGAGTTTGATATCAGATCATTGCTTATGGAACTAATGGGTGTAAGGGTTGAACCCACATTTATGGCTATGATTAGACAGCTAAGAATAGGAGTACAGTCCAGTTGCATAATTTCACATAAACGCAAACAAATGGGAGCTATAAACAAAACCAGCAATATGCCATCAAAGATATTGGATAGCAGACAGGAGGAGAGCAGAATACAATGCAGCATGGGCCATATATGGCCATTGGATAGTTCATAACTGACAGCAGCTAAATAATCTTGCAAACCGGTTTCCGCCAAAAGCTCAATAATAAGAGAAGCACCAAAGAATAGCATAATGGTATCAATATTACCCCAGATATTGAATATTATCTGAAGAGAAGGTCTCAGATGTACCGCCGCTATAATACCCACTGCCAAGGTGGAACATATCACCCCCGCCAATGTACGATGTACTAGCTCAAACATGATGGCAACATAGATAATAAGCAACAGCAATAAACCCAATATTAAACCGGTTTTCTTGGAGACCATACTAAATTGATAGGCCACTTGCAAGGGTATGGTTCCATTAAAATTGCTCGCGAACTGCAACTGATATTTGCCATTATCCAACTTAACATTTTCTATTATCTTTTCCACCATTAGGATTTCCTGCCACTCCCCTTTATGCTGCTCGGATAGGTGTAAATGTAAAACAGATTTGATAGTCTTAATAGAATTGTCCTCCTCTACTTGTTGCAATGTAACCCACAGAAATGGGCTCTCAAAATGGCTGGACTGCAGCTCATCGAAGCGAAAAGTGGTCTTAGTAAAGGGGCCATATAATCTCAGACATAAACTTGAACCGATCACCTCTTGGTTTATACCAAATTTAAGACCTTCTTCTCCCGGCGGCACGGACAAGGTAATGGCTTCGTATTCAATTTCTTCATTGGCCATAAGGAAGTAGGTGAAGGTTAACCAACATATAGCCATGATAAGGCGCTGGCCATATTCAGCAAACGTCTTACTAACTTATACTGTTTAGATCTTCCATAATATTCCTCCTCAGGATGGTCACTCATAGAAAAACTGTCTTCTGAGGTAGTAGCATCCATGCCGCCTCTTAAGCGCTGCCTTAAAACTCTATTTATACCCAAACTGATTTCATTTTGTTCTCGCTTCAGAAAGAAGCCAATATGTTCAAATTAATCCTTTAGTCACATAGCCATTTAACTTACCTTTTTCTTTTTTAATCCTTTAAATATTTGCCCAACTGCTTTATGATTTTGTATTAAATTTATTTGACATTTAATTGTTTTATTGCTCCCTGTTGCCATACAATTTGTTATTAAGTAAATAATTTTAAAAATTTATAACAAAAAATATTGTTTCTTTTGTAATGCGGCAAATATTTGCAACATTTGTAAATATTTTATTGTATTTTTTTATGAAATTAATTTTCTACGAAATTTGTTTTCTCTATTGACATTTCTTTAGTGTTTTGTTTATACAATTTTAAAATGAATTTCAACACTAGACTTTACTACACTGAAAGAAAAAAATACGAGCCAAGTAATTGTCTATATGAATTCGCCGCAAATTGTCTACTTCGAAATTTATATTGTCTCGAGTATAATCTATTGTAGATTGTTCTGTAGACAGTTCTATAGTATCGACTATAAACAGTTCTATAGTCTCAACTATAGACAGTTCTATAGCCTCGGCTATAGTATATATATAGAGATTACAGAAAGTTCTATAGTTTCGACTACGGACTGTTCTATGGTCTCGACTATAAACAGTTCTGTAGTCTCGACAATAGAGAATTCTGTAGTCTCGACTATAGACAGTTATATAGTCTCGACTATAGACAGTTCTATAGTCTCGACTATTGACAGTTCTATAATCTAGACTATAGTCAGTTCTCTAGTCTAGACTATAGACAGTTCTATAGTCCCGACTATAGACAGTTCTATAGTCTCGAATATTGACAATTCAACAGTCATCGGCTATAGATAGTTCTACTGTCTCGACTATAGACAGTTCTGCAGTCTCGACTATAGACATTGCTATAGTCTCGACTATAGATAGTTCTATAGTCTCGACTATAGATAGTTCTATAGTCTCGACTATAGATAGTTCTATAGTCTCGACTATACATAGTTCTATAGTCTCGACTATAGACAGTTCTATAGTCTCGACTATAGCCAGTTCTACAGTCTCGACTATAGACAGTACTATAGTCTCAACTATAGACAGTTCTATAGTCTCTATTATAGACAGTTCTATAGTCTCTATTATAGACAGTTCTATAGTCTCGATTATACACAATTCTATAGTCACGACTATAGACAGTACTATAGTCTCGACTAAAGACACTTCTATAGTCTCGACTAAAGGCAGTTATATTGTCTCGACTATAGGCAGTTCTGCAATCTAGATTAGAGACAGTTCCATATGGTCGACTATAGACAGTTCTATAGTCTCGATATAGACAGTTCTATAGTCTCGCCTATAGACAGCTCTATAGTCTCGATTATAGACAGTTCTATAGTCTCAACCATATGCAGTTCTATAGTCTCGACTATAGGCAGTTCTATAGTCTCAACTATAGACTGTTCTATAGTCTCGCCTATAGACAGTTCTATAGTCTCGACTATAGGCAGTTCTATAGTCTCGACTATAGGCAGTTCTATAGTCTCGACTATAGACAGTTCTATAGTCTCGACTATAGGCAGTTCAATTGTCTAGACTATAGCCATTGCTATAGTCTCGACTATAGACAGTTCTATAGTCTCGACTATACATAATTCCATAGTTGAGACTATAGCACTATCTATAGTCGAGACTATAGCACTATCTATAGCCGAGACTGTAGAAGTGTCTATAGTTCTATAGTCGAGACTATAGTACTGTCTATAGTCGACACTATAGAACTGTCTATAGTCGAGACGATAGCAATGTCTATAGTCGATACTATAGCGCTGTGTATAGTCGAGACTATAGCACTGTCTATTGTCGAGACTGTAGAAGTGTCTATAGTCGAGACTGTAGAAGTGTCTATAGTCGAGACTGTAGAAGTGTCTATAGTCTAGACTATTGAACTGTCTATAGTCTAGACTAAAGATAGTTCTATAATCTCGACTATGGACTATTCTATAGTCTGGACTATAGAATATTATATAGTATATTATAGGCTATTCTATTATATCTATTATATCTGGATACTTCTATTAGTCTAAGCGATTTTTTCAAGTTCTTCTCTTTTACATATATATTTCCATAAACACAAATACATAGTTGTTTTCTGTCTAGTGGATGCTAAATAAATAACCATAAATACCTCCTGCAATCATAACAAAACAGCCATCAGTTAAATTCAATATTTCTATTTTTAGAAACGAAACTTCATTAGCATTAAAATTTTTAAAATCTTATAAATACTTCTGTCAAAATTGTTCACACACACACACTTTCATTTACACTACGAAGATACAAAAAAGCTAAAGAATAAATAATTTTTTTGCTTGTGCATTTATATTTAAATATGAATAACCTAAATAAAATATTTAAAAAATATAAAATTTCCATTCATTTGAAATGTATTTGGTATTTTGATAATATTTTGTATATGAGATATATTGAAATGTAAATTTCAATGTATGCATTAGAATACACATTTTCCAAACAGTAGGGGGGCAAAAATTAAGAAAACATTATTTTATTTTTTAACCTATTGTGGACGCATGGTGTTTTTTTCTATGGGCTAATTTAGCTCCATGCAGTTTTTGCTAACAGTGCTCTAAATGCTTTTATAATTTGTGTAAAATTTTTGATAATATGTTATACTTTTGTTACTCACTGTACAGCAAAACGTATGAATAAATATTGGAGTAACTTTTGACATTAAATGCTTAAAAAATGACATTCATTCATAATTTAAACAGTATAAATTTTGAGAAATAAAATTGTTTAAGTGGATCAAACATAACAGTTTCTATGAAAAGCTAAAGGTTAGTTATAGTCTAGTCCATAGTCTGTTGTAAACGGTAGTTATTAGTAGTTAGTTAGTTAGTTAGTTAGTTTAGTTAGTTAGTTAGTTAGTTAGTTAGTTAGTTGTTAGTTAGTTTACGTTAGTTAGTTAGTTAGTTCGTTAGTTAGTTAGTTAGTTGTTAGTTCTTAGTTAGTTCGTTCGTTAGTTCGTTAGTTAGTGTTAGTTTCTTCAGTTTTAGTTCGTTAGGAGTTCGTTAGTTAGTTCGTTCGTTCGTTAGTAGTTCGTTCGCTTCGTGTCGTTCGTTCGTTCGTTCGTTCGTTCGTTCGTTCGTTTTCGTTCGTTCGTCGTTCTTCGTTCGTTCGTTCGTTCGTTCGTTCGTTTCGTTCGTTAGTTCGGTCGTTCGTTTCGTTCGTTCGTTAGTTCGTTCGTTCGTTCGTTCTTCGTTCGTTCGTTCGTTCGTCGTTCGTTCGTTCGTTCGTTCGTTCTTTCGTTCGTTCGTTCGTTCGTTCGTTCGTTCGTTCGTCGTTCGTTTCGTTCTTCGTTCGTTCTGTTTTCGTTCGTTCGTTCGTTCGTTCGTTCTCGTTCGTTCGTTCGTTCGTTCGTTCGTTCGTTCCGTTCGTTCGTTCGTTTTCTTTGTTTGTTTGTTTGTTCGTTCGTTCTTTCGTTCGACTAGACTATAGACTAGACTAGACTAGACTACAGACTAGACTATAGACTAACTATAGACTAGACTATAGACTAGACTATAGACTAGACTATAGACTGACTATAGACTAGACTATAGACTACTATAGACTAGACTATAGACTAGACTATAGACTAGACTATAGACTAGACTATCGACTAGACTATAGACTAGACTATAGACTAGACTATAGACTAGACTATAGACTAGACTATAGACTAGACTAGAACTAGACTATAGACTAGACTATAGACTAGACTATAGACTAGACTATAGACTAGACTATAGACTAGACTATAGACTAGACTATAGACTAGACTATAACTAGACTATAGACTAGACTAGACTAGACTAGACTAGACTATAGACTAGACTATAGACTAGACTATAGACTAGACTATAGACTAGACTATAGACTAACTAGACTATAGACTAGACTATAGACTAGACTATAGACTAAGACTATAGACTAGACTAAGACTAGACTAGACTAGACTAGAGTAGACTATAGACTAGACTATAGACTAGACTATAGATAGACTATAGACTAGACTATAGACTAGACTATAGACTAGACTATAGACTAGACTAGATAGACTAGACATAGACTAGACTATAGACTAGACTATAGACTAGACTATAGACTAGACTATAGACTAGACTATAGACTAGACTATAGACTAGACTATAGACTAGACTATAGACTAGACTATAGACTAGACTATAGACTAGACTATAGACTAGACTATAGACTAGACTATAGACTAGCCTATAGACTAGACTATAGACTACTATAGACTAGACTATAGACTAGACTATAGACTAGACTATAGACTATACTATAGACTAGACTATAGACTAGACATACTAAGACTAGACTATAGACTAGACTATAGACTAGACTATAGACTAGACTATAGACTAGACTATAGACTAGACTATAGACTAGACTATAGACTAGACTATAGACTAGACTATAGACTAGACTATAGACTAGACTATAGACTAGACTATAGACTAGACTATAGACTAGACTATAGACTAGACTATAGACTAGACTATAGACTAGACTATAGACTAGACTATAGACTAGACTATAGACTAGACTATAGACTAGACTATAGACTAGACTATAGACTAGACTATAGACTAGACATATAGACTAGCTAGACTAGACTATAGACTAGACTATAGACCTAGACTATAGACTAGACTATAGACTAGACTATAGACTAGACTATAGACTAGACTATAGACTAGACTATAGACTAGACTATAGACTAGACTATAGACTAGACTATAGACTAGACTATAGACTAGACTATAGACTAGACTATAGACTAGACTATAGACTAGACTATAGACTAGACTATAGACTAGACTATAGACTAGACTATAGACTAGACTATAGACTAGACTATAGACTAGACTATAGACTAGACTATAGACTAGACTATAGACTAGACTATAGACTAGACTATAGACTAGACTATAGACTAGACTATAGACTAGACTATAGACTAGACTATAGACTAGACTATAGACTAGACTATAGACTAGACTATAGACTAGACTATAGACTAGACTATAGACTAGACTATAGACTAGACTATAGACTAGACTATAGACTAGACTATAGACTAGACTATAGACTAGACATAGACTAGACTATAGACTAGTATACTATAGACTAGACTATAGACTAGACTATAGACTAGACTATAGACTAGACTATAGACTAGACTATAGACTAGACTATAGACTAGACTATAGACTAGACTATAGACTAGACTATAGACTAGACTATAGACTAGACTAGAC